TCTCGTCTACCTCGACGATATCCTGGTCTACAGTCGTACCCTTAAGGAGCACCTCAGACACCTTCACAAAGTCCTTGACCGCTTGCGCAGATATGACTTTATCCCAAGCTGAGCAAGTGCCGCCTTGCCCAGCACAATGTGGATTTCTTATGACACTACGTGTCTGACCAGGGTCTCCACATGGACGACGCGAAGATCACTACTATTGCGGAGTGACCCGTCTCCACATCCGCCAAGCAGCTTCGTAGCTTCCTAGACCTTGCCAGCTACTATAGTAATTTCATCCAGGGATACGCTAGGTATTCCTACGTCCTTACCTCCACCCTCCTCCGGAAGAACCCGCCATGGGTTCGGACACCCCTCCACGAGGACGCCTTCCGCGCCCTCAAGAAGGTGGTGACATGTGCACCAGTTCTTCACCTACCCAATTTTGATCGCCCTTTTATCCTTACCACTGATGCGTCCGACTTTGCTGGAGGAGCAATGCTTTCTCGGATTTCCCCCCCCTGTCCCGATTCCTCTCATCATTGTATCCCTCGTTTCCCACCCCCTACCCCACCAGTACCACCACGACCTCCCGCCTGACGCCTACTCGATCCGCTACTAACGAGCCTTCTATTGACTATTCTCCTACCATCGTTGAGGACGACACTATCGAGTCGCGCTCAGATGATTGTCTGATACCCTTTTACTCTCGTTAGCTCCTGCACGCCGAGATAAACTACACTGCTGATGAACGTGAGGTTCTCGCAATAGTTTATGCCGCTCGACACTGGCGTCATTACCTGCACGGGACACCATTCACCGTGCGCACGGACAACTCTGTCGTCCAGGCTTTTCTGACAAAGCCGAAGCTCACTTCTCGACAGGCTCGCTGGTGGCGCGATATATCCGAGTTTAGTTTCACCACTGAGCACATCAAGGGTGAGACTAATCGGGTCGCAATTGCCTTATCCCGGCGCCCTGACCATGATCAGGAGCAGCTCTAGCTCGCTGCCATCTTGGTCACCACCATCCACCACTCGGTGATCAACGAGTTCCGCACTCAGTACCGTCACTGCCTCGACTATCGCTATATCCATGCGAAGCTTCAGAGTGGCAAGACCGTCCCGAACTAGTCTCTCGGAGACAACGGTCTTGTGTATTGGCACGGTTCACAGGGTACCTTATAGCCCCGTATTTGCTTTCCCTCCACTAGACAGCTACGTATCCGGGCAGTAGCAGAGTTCCATGACCAGGCACCCGCCGGTCATATGGGCTTCCGCAAGACATTGGCTCGTGTGAGCCGCCTGTATGTCTGACCAAAGCGAAAGGACTTTATGAAGGACTACGTCGCAGAGTGTCCCACCTGTCAGGAGGTGATTAATGCGAACCACCTGCCTTATGGTTTGCTCCAACCTCGTCCTACCCCTGAGGGTCATTGGCCGTCCATCTCGATGGACTTTATTGGTCCTCTTCGTCCTACGACCTCCCGCGGTCATGATGTTATCCTGTTCATTGTCGACCGCTTCACGAAACGTGCACACTTTGTTCCGTGCCGTTATGCCATCAGTGCACGTGAGGTCACCAACATCGTGTTTGATCGAGTCGTGCGTGACCACGGCTTACCTCTGAGCATCATATTTGACAGTGATCCGCATTTTACCAGCCGATTCTGGTGACGACTCCACAAGGTATACGGCACCCAGCTCCGCTTCTCCTCGTCTTACAATCCCAGACTGATGGTCAAACTGGATCACGAACAGGACTCTCGGAGATATTCTCCGAAAGATTGTTTGTGATGACCAGCAGTGGGATCTACATCTTGCCCATGCGGAGATAGCCTACAACCACACCGTCTCGCCAGCCACGGGGATGTCGCCTTACTATTGCGACCTCGGCTATCACCCTCGTGTTCCCGCGGACTTCCTTCGACCGTCACAGATGCATTTCGACATGATTTGTCCCGCGCTGGATGATTGGGTTGCACACATGACGTCGATCATGACGACCACACATGAACACATAGCCGCTTCCCAGACTTGTATGGCCGCACGTGCGAACCGATCGAGGATGAATCATCCATTCAAAGTCGGTGATGATTTGCTTATCGACGCCCGCCACTTACAGCTCGAAGCGGACACGCTTCACAAGTTTCGGCATCGCTTCTTTGGCCCATGCCGCATCCTCCAAGCCGTCGGTTTTGATAGACATCTAGCCCGGTCAGCTTCCGTGTGAAGCTGCCCGACTACCTACGCCAGACTCGTGTGCACGATGTCTACCACGTCTCGTTATTGCGTCCCTACCGTAGACCGTCTGAGTGTTCCGCTAGACGACCATACGAGCACCGTCCACCCATCATGGTGGACGGCCATGAGGAGTTCCTCATTTCAGACAGCATTGGTCGCCGAGTCACCGACGATAACCCTCCCCATGTTGAGTATCTCGTACGTTGGAAGGGTTACCATGATGAGGAGGCTACCTGGGAGCCCCTCGAGCACTTGCAGCACGCTCGCATGTTGGTGTGTGCCTATGACCATGCTCGTCGTGCTGGGTTGACTGCTCCTCCTCAGCACACTGACCCTCCTTCTCCCTCGGCTGAGAAGACCGCCGAAGTCGAGCCTGCTCCATCTGAGGCAAACCTTCAGCAGCAGTCGGATGCTTGTAAGCGTCCACAACGCACTCGTCGTCGTCCTGCTCGATACGACAATTGACTCAGACTTCTCTTCCCACATCTTTGACTTCTTAGTACTCCATCCACTCCAATTTTGCCACTTCAGCTCGTCGACGTTGCGGCTCTTCCGCGACGGCATTCCAGACTTTTCATCATGGACGTCATCGACAACTTCATGGACTTCATCACGATCAGCTTTGCCTACTTCAGACGTCATCACTCTCTTACCACTTTACCCTGTACAGTACCCTGGTTGTGTCACATGATGGTCTCCATTCGCCGGGTTCCTCTGACTTGGGTTCTTCCTTGGTATACGCATAGGCATCGAGACCGTAGCGTCGCCTTGGCTTCCCAGCTTACGGATCCAGCTCCGACTTCCCCCACCTTGGGAGTCATTTCCATGATTCCCTTACGCATAACTTTTTCTACCCTCTGCCGGCCCTCACGCCCTAGTTAGGCAACCTCGCATGCTTCATCTACGTGCGCCCAGTATACCAGGCTCCCTTGTTCCCTTGCATGGTCGACCCTTTATAGCAGTCACCCCTTTAGTCGAGCATTACCCACCCTGATGGTCTATCTGTTAGGATCATTGGTTCTGTTCGCTCCCAGTTCCCTACCCTTATTGAGCCTGATGACATGTATCTCCCTGTCATTTTTGTGTGGATGCCCTTAGGAGTTATCGACCCCTAGGCTGCATTCGCCACCCTCAAAGACCATCCCACCCTTTGGTTCGTGACACTCTTCTCCTGGGACATATGGTTGTCTTGTTGTTGCTTTGTTGCTCTCAAACTGGGGCTACTGCCTCTAACATTCTAGGATTTAGTTGTTTCTGCTTTTGCTGTTCTTAGGACTTATACACTAGTCAGCTGTTTCCAAACTAAGGCTACCGCCTCTA